CCCGGGCCGGCAGCACCGGGAAGGCTGCCCTCACACCAGTCCCTCCGTGGTGGGACCCAACTCCCTACTCCAAAACCACAGTCCCTCCTGCTGCCTCCAGCGCCGCTTTGATCTTCTCTGCTTCCTCCTTGGAGGCGTTGGCCTTGATTTCCTGCGGGAGGGACTCCACCAGCTTCTTGGCCTGCGGGAGGGACAAAGTACGAGACTTGTCAACTACCTTTTACTAACGAGATTAACAGATCAGAGCCATGAGCCTGATCTCTGCGGACCAGGTGAGCTCACCCACTGCTCTAAGCCCCCAACTTTCACTTGAACTGCAGCACATCCTGACATCAACCTGACTGCAAGTGACAGCACCTCCACCACAGCCCCCAAGACCTTCCTCAGCAAGGAACTGCCCGTGAATTCCTCCCACCACAGGCACGGTGCTCCCAGACACAGCCTGGAGCTCAGAAGGTGCCTGGGACACAGGCAGAGCCACCGGCCTGGCTGGGCGGATGTTTTTCAGCCCAATGTTTTGGTTCACATATTTTTGCCAGCGGGGAGGAAAGGCCGTTGCAGGGTTTGGACACGGTTGAGCAGGAATCTGCTGCACTTGGTGAAAAGGAGCTCCAGCAGACTGTGCTTGACAACACAGCCTGGACATTTCCAGGAGCTTTTGTACAAATATTGGTGCTGTGGTACTGCAAGGTTTGAAGCAGGCTGAGAAGCTGCTGAACTAACAGGGACTTCCTGCAGTGCTGCTGTACAGAGGGGAGGTGACCCCGGGGGCGTAAAAGCCCCTGCTGCAGCCAGATGCTCTTGCCCTTACACCAAATGGCAGCCACAAAGCTCCAGGGCTCCTAAAACAAACCCTGGGCAGACTCCCAGGGCAGAGCCACTGTCAGCTCCACTGCAGCACCACAGGTGTCCAGCACCCAGCACTGATCACTGCTGGCAGGAGGCAGGTCGTGTGGGTTTCATTCCTGTTGGCTGCAGTGAAGATGGATCCATGGTGGCAGCAGATGCTGGTTTGGCGGGTCAGGCTGCCCCGAGGCAGGACCGTGTCCAGCAAGGAGCCTGCTCTGGCTTGCTGAGACAGGGACAGGCAACACAACCCAGGCTGTTCGCCAAGACCCTCACTCACTGGTGCTGAACTCAGTCTTGCAGCTGCTCCCAGCACCCAGCTGGATCCACAGGGACAGCTGGGGCAGAGACAACGTGTTCCTGATCCCCACTAGAGCACACGGGGACATGGCCCCGGGGCAGGTGACGACAGGAGGTGGGATCAGCTCCAAATGTATTCAAGAGGGGCAAACGGACTCAAGTCTGGCTGGAGCTGAGCACACACCACAGCATTTCTGCAGGGCTGCCCTGTTGTGGTTGCACCAGCACCCGGTGGCCACAGGTGGCACCAGCAACGACTTCCTCCACACCATGAACAGCCCAGCAGGCCAGGAAGAGATCCCCTGCAAATCTCATTAAACACACCTCAATGGGATGGCAATAACGTTTACAACAATAACGGATCATCTCCTCCTTGAACACAACCTCCGTCGACAGCAGCAGCAGCTGCTCTGTGTGCTTTAAACACAGCTCTGTAAGTCACACTTGGCAAAGTTCACCCACAACAAACTGCGCCTACCAAGCCTGGGCCTGCATGGGACATGACCAGCTCATCTGACATGTTCCACATACCCAGCCAATTTCATTTAGTGTTAGTTCCCCAGACAGCTTTTAATTATCCCCTGACTGTGTCCGTTACAGGTTTCTGGTGTGTGAACATTTGCTTGGGACTGATAACAGACAAACAATTGCCCAAGTCTTCGAGCTGGTGGTCAGTTAATATTCCCAGTGGGCCAACGAACCTCACGGCTCTGCCAGCAGCTTCTCTGTTATCAAACTGTTTCCTGTGCAGTGCATTGATATGAATGGGGCAGATGATGTTCTGCAGATCTGTCTGATATCCAGGGCTACAACCAAGAGCAGATTTTACAATGCTCTGTTTTTCCTTGCAACTGGATAAAAAGAAACTGCTATTAGTCCCAAGATAGGAAAGCATCACCCAGTGGAGAACTGAAGCAGGTGAAATGCTGCCTCAGCAGCAGCAGCTCTGTTGCCCTTTTCTGTCCTGAGCCCACATCCCAGCTGAAGGATGAGCTCTGACCTGCACAGGGCTGAGAAGAGCCCATCTCCTCAGAGGGAAACAGAGCAGCAGTCACCTACAAAACAAATTGCTCTGAAAAGGGCTGGAAATATGTACTGCAAGAGATGTCAGTTAGAGAAGCTCCTCTAAACTCACAAATACATTTGCCTTGAAAAACCTTTAGGGAAAGGGAAGGCAAATCAGCTGCAGTGAGGAATCCTGGCTGCTCCTGAGGTCTGCAGGGAATCCACAGCAACTCATAGATCTGGAGAAGCTGAGCCTGACACTAAGGCCTTTGCTCTGAGCCTTCCTCATCCCACTGCTCCTGCTCGGGGCTCAGCTGTTGGGACATCCAGCAGAGTGAAGAGGGAACAGCCTCTAGACAAACAGACACAACTGACTCCTGCTCTGCACCTTCTGTGCATCCCTGCGCCCAGGTGTGTGCACAGGCAGGCTGCTTTCCTCAACCCAGCATCCCTTCTGGACACAGGACTGAGGCTGCTGCTTGCTTCATGCCTCAGGACCCACTGGGGCCTGGGGGTGACATGGGAGCGGCTGGAGCTTGGGGCAGTCCCTCCTCACCTGCACAAGGTTGATTCCTGGCACAAAGTTCTTCACCTCCTTGATCAGCTTCACCTTGTCAGCAGGTTTCAGCTCTGTCAGCCGGACAGTGAAATGTGTCTTCTCTTTCTTGAGTGGGGCCACCTCCTCCTCCTCCTGCAAGCAGCCAGAGTTTGGTGAGGGCACCTGGCCAGGCCCGTCGCCCCCCACGTGTGGGGACCTGCAGGGTTGACACGAAGCCCCCAAGGCCCAACTCCCGACCCCTCCCCGGACAGCCCGGTACCTGCGCAGCCGCCTGGGAGGGCTGG